GCGTTGCATTACACTGCCTTGCGGCTGCACAGCATCAAATGCCTTCACTTTTCCTATGCACTCCAACGCCGAACATCACCTCGACGTGCAGTGTATGACTCACGTTGCTTCGGAGTTACATGGCCTACTCCCTTCCTGCCCACCTGACCACACCTTACTTTACCTGACCTTGCTCTACCCTGCCGCACCCTGCTTGTCCATACCCATGGTGCCCTGCTGTCTGTGGCATTGCCGCCCCAACTGTTGCTTACTCGTGAGACGGTGCCTCCTCAACCATTCCTGGGCGGACGTGCGTGATCCGGTCCTCTTCCCTTCTTCCTACAATTGTGCCCCTCCCACACTTCTTCTCCAACCCCAGCCGCGCCTGCGGACTTCACCGTGTCCCGGAACACTGCCCAAATCTTCCGGTGGCAGTCCTCTGGCCGGCAGCAGCGTAGCCCCTACGCTGAGACGCGCGACGCCAAGCTGCTCCTCGCTCGCTGGCTCGCTCGCTCGACGAGGGCTGTACGAGATGAGCCCGTGCCAAGGGTACACGTACAAGAGTATAAGAGCATATGAGACAACATGCGAGGAATTCACAGAGAGAGAGAGAGAGCCAGGGGAGGGGAGGAGAGAAGAAGCCCACAGGAGCTCAACCAGGCCCCCCCCCCACAAGGAGGGAGGGGAGCGCGGGGACAATAGAAGAGCGGGGGCCCGCACCATCGGCTGACCCTGGCATGGGCACGAGGAACAGGGCCCGAAGAAAAAGGGTCCGACAGCCCTAAATGGGCCCACACAAGGTTCTGGCTTTGGCAGAACTGGGTTTCGTGGGACCTGGCTTAGCGATGTGCGCTGGGGGACGCCATCCCCGCCACTTTCCACGAACCGGAACTGGCGTCACCCGAAAAGACACCAGCTACGGCAGACCTGGTTTCGTGTTTCTGGCCAATTCTTAGGCTCCGAGGCCCTACCACGAACTGGGTCCCCTTACCTGGGGTCCTGGCTATATCCGAAAGTAGACAAAGACAAAACCACATAAACATAAACTTCTGGCGCTCCACGCGGATTTCTTGGATTCGCGCTGGACCCCCCTCCCTGACGCGCGGAGCGCGCCAGGGGCGGCGCCGGAGGCGCCGCCAGGGGGCCCAGGCGCGGATCCAAGAGATCCGCGCGGAGCGCCAACAGTTTATGATTGTGCTCTTTCCTTCTTTGAGAACTTAGCTGCCCCGATACGCAACACGCGACACGTAGCGTGTTGATACGGAGCTCAACACGTGGACTGAAAACGTAGCTCCGACGTGATACGTTCGCCGAAACGTGGGCCAATACGTGGAGCCAACACGCAACGCATTGACACGGACGTCTTGAACACGGCACGTGTTGCGCATCAAAACGGGCGTATCGAGGCAGCTAAGTTCGAGAAAGGCCGAATGGGCCCATGGGGTCCTCAGGGGCACCGGCCAGGTGCGGGACGAGGACGTCCGCCCAGGGCATGGGGAGGGTGGCGAGGCGCACGCGGGGGGCGCCCCCCAGAGCTCTCGGCGAAGGCTCCGCGGGACAGGCCACGGGACCGCGTGCCAACGGTCTCAAAATCGAAGCTCGTCCTCCTCCTCCTCCTCCTCCTCCTCCTCCTCCTGCTCCTCCTCGTACTCGTCCTCGTCCTCGTCCTCACCCTCCTCCTCGTACTCGTCCTCGTCCTCCACCTCCTCCTCCTCCTCCTCCTGCTCATCCTTCTCCTCCTCCTCCTGTCCCCCTCCTCCTCCTCCTGCCCTTCCTCTTCCTCATCCTCCTCCTCCTCCCTCCCACTCAAAACAAACACAAAGCCTGGGAGAGGCTGCTTGGAACTGTTCGACAGCTAACAACGATGCAGCGACGCTGCATCGGTGATGCTAGTTCAGGCTCATCCGGTGCCGGCTCAGCCGATGCCAAAGCCTCGATCTCGCACACATGCATTCATGCCTCGGCGACTCTGCATCCCGTCGCATCCCTCCCCCAGCAGAACAGCTCCTCGACTCTACCCCTCCACAACCAAACTTCCTCATTGGGGCCCCTTGCCGAAGCCCTGCGACTGGAGCGCAGACCGAGAAAGGCTCTGCATAATGCATATGGGCATTGCCATCGGCACAACTTTCCAGCTGACGAGATGGTCGCCTGCCCACCAGGTGTTCCGCAACATGCCGAACCCGCGCACCGCACCGCGATGGAATCGATCAGACAAGCTGAAGCGGTGTCGCTGTCGTTGCACTGCCTTCCGGGCCGTCACGGGGAAGATTCGGCGGCAGCCTCCAGAGTGCGAGTGGGTGGGGAGGGGGGCGCCCACTCTTGCTGCTCGGGCTGCCCAAGCCTGTCCGCTCAAAGTCGGCCGAACCCAGCCAGCCCGAGTCGGGCCCCTGCTGGAGACGCGCTCGGGGGGATGGCGCCAGGGAGCAGCCTGCTAAGAGGGCGGGGAGAAGCTGCCGAGAGGGCAAGGAGCTTCTCAGAAGGCCCCACGGCTTCCAAGAAGCCTCCTTGGGAGCCTCGGGGCCCCACAAAGCCAGCCGCTGCAGTCCAAGAAGCCCCCGCCTCCGCGGAAGGCGCCCGCTTCGCGCTGCCCACGTGTGCGTGCGCGCGGACAGCCCTGGGCGGAGCCCTCCTCTCGCATGGCAAAACAAGGATGAGCCTCGGGACCCCCAACTCGATCCGCACCGTAGGAGCTTCCCTCTGTGCACTCTGGGCCCTTTCCCCCTCCAGCTTGGATCAAGAGGGTGAGACAGAGACGGTGCACAATCGAAGAGCGGCTCAGAAAAGCATCGAGGTGGATTCACAATCGCCATCGTCTAGCGCAACCTGGGCACACCACCCTGTGTCAACCGTCCATGCCCAACCTCCTCAGTCTAATGACCGTATTCCTCCGCCTCCTCACCGCACCGCTCCTCGTGGAAGGGCCACTCGAGAGAGCGCTCGTCGGGCAACACCCTCACCTCGGACAGACCCCCAACCGCAACTTCCCTGTCAAATTTCGCTGCCGTGATCATGCCTGTCTCTGTCCGGCCCGTGCGTGTGCGTGACGCAGTCTGGCCGCGTCGCCCCACCCGTGAGTGCCTCTGCATGCTGTCCGACGGTGCTTTTCGCGCTCTGAGTGTAAATCACAAAGCGGCTGGGATGTGTGCGCTCGCTCTATGGGCTCGCTGCCACGCAGCACATACTCTGAGCATAAATCTGGTGTAGCCTGCAGAAGCTGCGAAGGTGGAGTACTGCGGGTACCATCCGCCTGGCGCAACATTTTACGCCAGAGGCTCCAAAACAGCTTACGCCATGGATCGTGCGTTGCGCCATATATTGCACCGGGGGCTGCGCAGTGGATTGCATCATGGGTTGTGCCATAAGTCGCGCCAAGGGTTGTGCCATAGCTTGCCCCAGGTGGTGCGAAATTGGGTACGCCGTGGGGAATTGCGGCATGAATTGGCTGGCGCCATGAGATGCGCTGTGCACCGCAAAACCTTACAACGGCGTGATGTCTCAAGCCGCCTACGCGATACGTTAACATGTCCTGATATGACTGATGACGATAATTACTCTTTCTGTGCTCCTCCTTCACCACCCCCAAGACACCCCCCATCCGGCCAGGAAGGCCCCGACACGGCCCAAATAAACTCCATGAGAGCTTCTCAATATACGAAAACGTTCCTCTCCCTCCGCCTCCTCCTTCTTCTCCTGCTTCTCAAACTTCCCGTCCTCCCCGTCATCATCGTCATCATCATCCTCATTATCCTCAACAACATCCCAATCACGACTCTGCCAAGCCTGGGGGGCACAAAGTGTAACCCGCGACGGCGACGGCCGCCCATGCCCCCCCCCAAGTCGCAACCCAGATTGCTGGGCTGGCACGGTGGCGGACTTGCCACAAGTAAAATGGCTACTGCGACATACGTGAAGCCAGGTACCCCGCGCGCAACTAAATCATCCGCTGCCCGTGGGTCTGCGATGCGCTGTGCCAGGCGCCCCTGCGGGCAGCCCCATCGTGCCCTGCCCAGGCGACAGGCTGCGCCTGACACCCCGCACGGGTACCATATCGCTTGCGCCATGCTTTGCGCCACCCCGTGGGCAACCAAATGGTCCGTTGTCCCGGTTGGTGTGCCGTGGGTGGCGCCACATGTTGCATCATCAGTTGCGCCAGACCAGACACCCTGGGGGCGACCGAATCGTCCGTACACCCAGCGTTTCTGCCATAAGTTGCGTCACAGATTGTGCCAGGCACTCCTGCGGTCAACGAAATCGTGCGTTGCCAGAGTGCGTGCGCCATCCAACGAAATATAGGGAACACCTACAGCCTGGCACTTGTTGCGTAACTTAACGCGCTCTCAGCCGCCGTAACTGCAAAAAAACGGTCTGCTTTTGACTGCGCTATATTTGGCGCATGCAGCCTCAGGTCTTCAAACCAGCCTGGTGCTGGTTGCGCAGTAGTGTGGACCCTCGACCACCGAAGTTCGGCCTGGCTTCCCATTGGTTGCGCCACAACTTGCGTCCTCGACAACCGAAGCATGAGACAACCAGCTCAAGGGGGCGAGCCGACGCAGAGCAACCGTTCACGAAATACTGCGGTGCTAAACAGCGAAGCCAAGAACAAAGTGTGTGCGTGTGCGCGCAAGTGCGTACTTGCATAGGTTCGCACCTGTGCGAGCAGTGGCGCGCGGGATGGCGTTGCAGCTGACGGAGGAGCAATCGGAACATCTTGTGGGCGCGCGGGGTACGCGAACGAACATGTATATGGGACAACAACTACTTCGCGATCGGACGGAACGGGGACATCTCGGCATGCAACTGTCACAGCGCGCCAATTCTACACCACTGGAGTGTGAGTGCCTACGAATGCTGTCCACGACAGGCTGCAATCTTAGCCTGCGTACCTGGGTTGAGATCGGCATGGCATATCAACATGCAAGCGAATGCTAAACATGATGCCTGGAGCCGACATATCCGATGTGCTCCGCATGTCGCCATCTGATCCGCACGTGACTCCTTTTTGAACGGGAGCAGGAAGTCCCAGCTGAAAAGGCCCACGTGTGGTGGGACGGTGAAGCGGCGCAACGAACGGCAGCGCGCTGGCCCCTATCCAACACGCGCGAGCACGACGTGAGAAGCAAGGCGCCACGACACAGGCGACTACGTCTCTCCTTTACCAAGGGAAGCAATAGTATAACGCGCTGGGCCACGCAACAAAAAAACAACCGACACATCTCGCCATATCTGTCTGTCCTGCGCCCTCTCCAACCATTCTCCGCGCCCCACTCGCTGCAGATCTTCCGCAACGCGCATTCAAAGATCATCCATCTTCGGTGGTTTGGTCGTTCAGGGCGCAGCCATCTCCCGCCGACTGCTGCCTGCCAAGCAAAATCTCTCCATTTGGTCACAGAGAGGGCCCATTCGCGCGGGGGCGCTCGAGCGACGCGCCCCGCCC